GCAAAATGGTAGAGGACTTTTCTGTTTAGTTTAATCTGCTCTACCAGCCCACGAGATATTATTCGGTTATTACCGGACACCCTGTATATAACTTTGTATAGTCTCGTTAACCTTGGTGCTATCTTTCTTTTTTAATTTAGTTTGATAAACAAATGGTCATTATTTAGACAAGAATAACGCAGTTATCGCTGGTATTCAGCGGTGGGCCGGACGGATACGCGTTTATTCGTCAATCTTCAAAAATTAATATCTCGTTAACGATTGCGAATTTTGCAAAATGGTAGAGGACTTTTCTGTTCAGTTTAATCTGCTCTACCAGCCCACGAGATATTATCGGTTATTACCGGACACCCTGTATATATTTATTATATATTTATAGATAATAATTGTTTTTTGCATACTTTTGCAAGAACAATTATTAACTAATTATAAAAATATAATAATAACATTATTAATAATATATTTTGAATAATTTCAAACTAAAAAATTGTATGGGAAAATGTATTAACTAAAAATTTGCGTAATATTATTATTGTCTTATTCCATCAATAAAATTGAGAATGTGAGTTACAAGCCCCGTAAGAACGCAGGATTAAAATAGTTTATTTGTTAAGAAATACATCGCAGAGAGAATGAGAACGGTATAGTGAAAGAATCAGAGCACATATAAATCGGGAAAAAAAAGATTTCAGCATTTATATCGTTTATTCATCCGAATGGTCCCAAGTGTGCTCTCGCTTTTGATCGTTTGGAAAATCTACCAATTCGAAAATCGTACATATTATCGTTCAATCTATCGTAGGTGTGCTATTTCCTCTATTTATCGAATTATATAGACCGTTTTTCGAAATGTCGAACAACGACGAAATGGCATTTCTCGACGATTCAAACCGCACAAAATTGAATGCAATGTGCCCCAGATGAAATGTTAGTGGAATTACGCATATACATTCGCATTTATTTATACAAAGTGATTGCCTTCGCTAATTTCATGCAATTTCATTCACTATTTGGTAAACATTTCTAAAGCTTAACGCATTACATCACTCAACATTTCAAAGAAAATTGTTCTCACAGGATGTTATTCTCACAACACCTGTGATGATTTCAATTTAATTCTTTACGCTGATTTCAAACATTACTTTCATAAAAGAAAAAAAAGAATTGTTTCGTAATATTCTTATTTATTTTGTAATACTTTTAAATTAAAATTACGTCAAACATTTTAAATAAACACACAACGTTCATATTTATAATGTAATACAATAATATTTAAAATGTTATATATTAAAAATAAAAAGCCCTGTGTAACATAATCTTTGTAATTTTATAACTCTCATTATAATATCTTTATAACTCACTATACCTTTGAAAGTTCCCAATATATATCTCTGATTTTTGCGAAATATTCGTAGATTTAAATTTATAGGAATATTACGTGTCGGCGTTATTTATTATATTTTCTATATCGGAGTCTTTATTTTCTTGAAATATGCATTCATCTATCAATGCATAATAACATTGCCGTATATATATATGCAAAATTAGACATTAATTTAGAAATGGAAATATGTTCGCAAAATTTATGAGAACTGATTTTATTTCTTCGTGCATTAAATGGAAATTCGTGAAAATATGTGCATTAAGTGATTAGTAAAAAATAATTTACAGATCAATAGAGAGATTAAGTGGAGTATAATATTTTTTTTCCACTACATTAAGATTTAATTTAACCCGCTTAATTAAAGATGTATACACTGTACATTAATGCGTACATTTATTGCAAAGGTATTTTGTACTATGAAAAAAGCCAATGTCGATATACGAACATAGAGTAATCACGACTATAATGCGTAAAGTGGAATGGTATTTTACTGAATTTCATTTATATACGCAATTTTTCGCATTGTACTGGCACTCTCATTGTTCCCGCGCATTGCAATGTGGAATATTAAAAAATGTCAGAAATACCACGAAGTCCATCAATGCATAATTTTATAAATTGCACAAAGTTAAAGTATGGAAAGTAATAAAAACAACCTGACGGAAATTTCTTTCCGCGATTGAAGTTTTGCGACAAAGTATGTTCTAAAGTAATACAGAAGTTTATTTTGCTTATATCGTTTACGTGCATTAGTCTAACTATTTTAAAATTATTGCTTTAACTGTACGATACTTAGAATTAATCATTTTTAAACATATTACATAAAACTATTTGAAATTATGAACAAATATAATCTAACGTTTTACATTAAAAGTCTGTATAACATCTTTTTGAATTTTAATTACTTCTTAAATATTTCCAATTTTGATTATAAAAAGAAGTTGCTTTTATTGATTAATGCAGTAGTGAATTTCTAAATTAATATTTTAGAGAGGAATATACTCTATACTTGTGTGAATATAATTTTTTATTCCACTTTGCCTCATTTTCCATTAATTTTATATACACACACATATACGCACATACTTTATTCTTAATTAAATATACTTTTGTTCTAGAAACAATATGGAAAAAAAATTCTATGTGCCCATATATATATAAGGAATGCACTTTTATCTTCGTATCTTTTTAAATATCTAAAAGACGAGAAGAATTTGTATTAAATAGCTGTATAGAGCTGATTATTCGATCGGATCGTAAGACAGATAATCATGCTGGTACAACAGCCGCGCGTTAAACTCGTTATTGCAACCAGAGGAGGGCTTAAGTAAAGCCACGCTAGCGCGTTCAACTTTGCGAAATGATATAACTTAGCTGCTTGTAACACCAGTACAGGTGTATCTAGCCTCGATGCTCGTCTTTATTTGCTTCCAACGTGTTCGCGTATTCTGCCTCTCTTCCTTCCTTTCTCCCTCCCTCCCTTTCTCACTCTTTCTCTCTCTATCTCCCTTTATCTCTTTTTCTTTCTCTCTCTCTCTCTCTGACACTAACTACGGCTACACCATACTACCGAAACCCACTACCCGCAGATTACGATCTGTGTTCGAAAATCCTACGTGTTCATTCAAGTTCCTATGCGAAGGATCGCTAAGCCGCTCGCTCTCCGGATTTTCCGAAAATTCGAATTCAAGCAGGGAACGGGCGAAAGTAAGATCTCAACAGAATACAAAGGCTTTCCAACATGATAAATTGTTTTAAGAAGCTTTTCCAACGAAAAATAGATTTACGCTTACTGCTTTTTGGACATTCTTGTTTTTTTTTCTTGCATAGTGGAATTCTGTTATCGCCAACAAAATATATTAAAATTAAATTTTGTGAAGAGAAATAGAAAGGAGAGTGAGAATAACTCTCTTTTAGACGTATTTTTTTTTTGCAATTTTAATTACACTAATGTTAAAATTGCACGGTAAAAGAAATTACAAACGTTGTAAACGAAAAGGGATAAATTACTTAATTTTGAAATATTAATACCGGAAATCGATTATATGTAAGGGAAACGAGCTAAAGGTATACATATTACAAGCGTATTACATCGTCGTACTTGGATTTCATGTTAATTAATTTATCATTCTACTAGAGGTCGATTGCGCTTTAACAATATATGCAGCTAAACGCGAATCCGCAGTGAGTAAAACGCGAAGCACCATTAGCAATATCATCGTCAAAGCAAAGCTCTTTCATAAACTCGTCCTGAGCGATGTCGATGGTAAATTACATTATGCAGCAGCAACATTTATAGCACGGGAAAGCGTTTGTGCGGCGCAATCGTGCGGAAATACCGGCAGAAAGCCGGGAAGAGAGCGAGAGACGTGACTTCTTCTCAAGAGCGAGATAAAAAAGCAACGCGATGTCGCATACACGATTGTATGCTAATGCCCCATTCCGCGACCCACTTCCACCTTAAGCGCGAGCCTCGAAATTATTCTGCCTCCGAAATTAAATGGGGCCAACTCGGTAATTGCTCCCTCTTACATCGCGCATTAATTAGCTCTCGACGATATCGTGAAAGTTTCCTACAACTGGCTTACCACCACCGTTAGGAAACATACTTCTTACATTCTGCAGTCCGCTAGAAATTGAGATAAGAGACTATATCGTTGTACCCCCTGTGAATAGTTGATCGCCTTAGGGAAACGTGCGCCGCCAGCTAAATGATCGCGATTCATTGACGAAAATGAGACCGTAAATAGTAGCGGGGACCAATTCTGATGCGATTTCATTAATTAGCAGTCATCATTCAATGAAAATACATCGGCGGCATTCAAAATGTTGATAGAGCATTTGCTTTGATATTATAAAATTTAAGTATTAAAAAATCAGTATATATATGTTGATAGCATTTGCTTTGACATTATAAAATTCAGGTATTCAAGAATCAGTATATTATCGTACAAATATGATATCATCGGAGAAAGAAGAGATATTATTATTTATCAAAATTATCTGATATATATTTGAAAACAATTCTTTTTGTGATATTTTATTTTTTTGATCGCTATGGTCACCGTGTATGTCTATTTTACATACAGCATATATTTCTCGAAGATAACAGCGCGCTTAAGTTGGTGCATTAATTAATCTCGATGGCGTCACGAAAGTTTTACAGGCTGTACCACAAATCTCTGAGAAGACGCGAATGTTCCTCTCACGGCATGGTACTTGAAATTCAGATAAGAAAGCCTTCACTCTCGTCTCTTCTCTACTCAGAGATCCCCAACCACTTCTTCTTCTTCTTCTTCTTCTTCTTCTTCTTCTCTTCTTCTTCTTCTTCTTCTTCTATGGCTTTGTCTTCGCTTACAGGAACAAGCATCGCGTGACTCTCCATTGGTCGAACTTCGTCTTGACTTTACCGAGTGCGTTGTCGACT